CTTCTTTTTTTTTTTTTTTTTTTTTTTTTTTTTTTTTGGTTTTTCACAACAGGGTTTCTTGTAGCTTTGGAGCCTGTCCTGGAACTAGCTCTTGAACTTAATGGAGATCCGCCTGCCTCTGCCTCCCCAGTGCTGGGATGAAAGGCGTGTGCCACCAACGCCTGGCCCTCTTACTTCAATTTACAAAAGTGATACTTCTTGTAGCCAATTAGATAGAATACAAATATGCTGATATTGTCAGATGAAAGTGGGAGCCACCTACTGTAGGTAATGGAAAATCCAACCCAAGTAACCTGGAGTAAATGGAAAACATATAGTGGTAGATGTCCTAGAACTTTCCTTCTGTTTCTGAGGAAGCCAGAGTTCAAGGAGGTGATGACTTCACCCATGATAGTGTTGTGGTGCTGGTATTAGGTCCCCAGTGCTGTGTCTTAGCTTCGTCCTGGTGCCTTCACCTCAATTTTTGCCTTGTTAGCTCTGAGCAGCTGCCAGACTCTTAGTATTGCCCTCCTCTTTATGTACAGCTCCAGAAAGCAGTGGGGCCTGAGATCACCAAAACAGATCTAGTACCTGCCTTCCAGAACCTGATGAAGGACTGTGAGGCCGAGGTGAGGGCCGCAGCCTCCCACAAGGTCAAAGGTTGGTGCTGGCAATCAGAACCTAGCTGGGGGATGTCTGAGAGGCAGAAATGGGACTGGGCCATCAAGGCTAACCAGCACCTTTCTGTCTCTGCCCACAGAGTTCTGTGAGAATCTCTCAGCTGACTGTCGGGAGAATGTGATCATGACCCAGATCTTGCCCTGCATCAAGGTAATAGAGTGCTTGGTTGTAGGATTTGAGACTTCCAGAGAGGGGTGCAGATTTGGTTTTGAGTATATTCAGAGCCAAACTAGGTTTGCATCCTTTCGGGACACACAGTATCTGAGTTTAACAGTCCTGGGTTTGTCTCTAGTCAAAATCTGAGGGTCGCAACTGACACTAAGATCTAAGGGATGTGTTTGCCTTCAAAGGCCACTGAGTTCCCTCATCCACAGATCTTGTGGAATGGGGCAGTGGCTGCTGGAAGCAGGGCTCACATAACAAGCAAGGGAGGACTTGTGAATACATGCAGTGCGTGCCTGAGCTGCCCTGATTGTGTTAAAAGTAGGAGAGTGGTCTCAGGCCATCAGGACTAAGGTATGTGTAGCCACTTGCCACGAGGGGTTTTTCTGACCCTGGGTTTCCTCCTTCCTTCTCTCTAGGAGCTCGTTTCAGATGCCAACCAACACGTCAAATCAGCACTGGCTTCAGTCATCATGGGCCTCTCTCCCATTCTCGGCAAAGACAACACCATCGAACACCTCTTGCCACTCTTCTTGGCTCAGCTCAAGGATGAGGTGAGAGCACCAGGAATATTTTCAGCACTTTGCAGAGATGGTAGTCTACTGTTCACCCAGTTTTCCAAGAATGTTTAGAATCTTGGCACCAGACACCACACTTCACACTCCTGCTAGACGACAGGCAAAAGTGTCTGCTTTTTCGCTCACTCTTATTAGATAGTTCTTCATGTTCCCTTAACTTCATACTCATTCTTTGCCCAAGTATTGAGAAGATGAGCAAAGACCAAGACATTGGTGATCCTCAGGGGCGCACAGAGTATGCCAGTGGAGAGGAACAGATGTGTAATCCATCCCATAGTTCCATTTAGACACTGTGGGTACCGGGAGAGGTACGCCATGATTTTTAGGTTCATGTACCATAGAGACCCTAATACAGTGCCATAGAAAGTTAGGATTCCTCTCACATCGTTCTAGCTGATCCTGTGGTGAGGGATTAACTTTGCTGGCCTGGCTTTCTCAGTCTGAAGTCACAGCTGTAATCTTACCTCTTGGCCCACTGAAGGGTTTGGCTCGAGCTTGTGTCTTCTGTGTGTTCCATTGACCATAGCCAGTCAGGTCACCATACCTGGCTGTGCAGGTGACCTAGACCACAGAGGACCAAAGAGGTCACTGTGGTGACAGCTCAGGGAATTGGATTTGAACCTGTAGGCAAGTGCTGTAGCTGCAAGAGATCTGTTTGTTAAGAAAGTGTAGTAGCCAATGTTAGGGAGAGATGAGAGAGAGCCAGAACTCTTGGATGCACTGCTGTCCATTCAAATTCTTTTTTTATTTTTTTGGAGGCAAGATTTTTCTGTGTAGCTGTTGAAATAAGAGCGGCGGGGCTGTGTCCCCAACACCCCGGCCGCTTGGCTAGCTCATGCCCGAAATAACAACACGCAAACTGTATTCATTTAAGAACTGCTTGGCCCATGAACTCTAACCCTTACAGGCTAATTCTCGCCCCTGGACTAGCCCATTTCTAATAATGTTTGTAAGCACCCCAAGGTGCGCTTACCGGGAAGATTCTAGCCTAAGTCCATCGTGGGTTGGAGTTGCCTGGGAGAGCTGAGCATGGCGTCTCTGCTCCAGCAGAGCTGTCGGGTCTGTCTCCGGAAGCAGAGCAGAGTCTGACCTCACTTCCTCTTCCGCCCAGAATTCTATTCTGTTTACTCCTCCCATCTATGTTCCAAGCCATGAGGCCAAGCAGCTGGTTTATTATAACTTAACCAATGAAATCAACAGATTGATATATGACACTCCCACATCATGTAGCTCTGGCTGTCCTGGAACTAGCTTTGTAGACCAGGCTGGCCTCAAACTCATGGAGATCCACCTGTCTCTCCCTCCTGAGTGCTGGGGATTAAAGACGTGAGCCACCACTTCCTGGCCCATTCAAATTCTTTAATGGAACACTTTTGTGGAGTGCCTAGTGACTGATTCTATAATTATCATTCTCAGGATGGGAAATAGATTTCTCATAGGCTATTTCCTACTTCAGAAGTCTTTCTTTAGAGAAGGTTTATGAAGTCAGTTGAAAGGTCTAACATTCGCAACTCTGGTTCTCTAGATACAAAAAAGCAAACACCAGACTAAAACAAACAATAAAAATCTCTTCTTGGATTTGGGTTTTCCAGAGAACTTGCTTTTTATGGCCTCTGTGGGACCAATCCATGTTTTTTTTTTTTCCCTATGGGTGTCTCTGCTCTATAGAGTGAGTGTGGATGGATACAGACTATAAACCAGAGTTTGCAATGCTTGGAATCAGGCAGGTCAGAGGCTCGTCACATGTGCTCCCTGGTCTGGCATTAGCAAGGTGAAGTGATGAGAATGATAATAGGCCCTACACATGTACTCCTTGGTGTCCTAGACACTAGGTGCTTCAGCCCGTTGAGCAGAGAACCTCAGCTACCCTTAAGACTAGATGGATATTTGGATATTCCAAGTTACAGGACGAAACTTAGAAAGGAGCCCTTGCCTGCTCCTATCACTTTTTTTTTTAAATTCATTAAAAATGTCCACCTCCTCCCATTTTCCTCCCACTCCCCCAACTTCCCCGCCCTTTCCCTTTCCAGTCCTAAGAGAAGTCACGGTTCCCTGCCCTGTGGGAAGTCCAATGCCCTCCCCACTCCATCCAGGTCTAGGAAGGTGAGCGTCCAGACAGATTAGGCTCCCAAAAAGCCAGTACATACAGTAGAATCAAAACCAGGTGTCATTATCATTGGCTTCTCATCAGCCCTCATTGTCAGCCACAGAGTCCAGTTTGATCACATGCTTGTTCAGTCCCAGTCCAGCTGGCCTTGGTGAGCTCCCGTTAGATCAGTCCCACCGTCTGGGGGGGGGGGGGGGGGGAATGTCCTATCACTTTTCTAAGGCTGCTATACGAAGTGCTCTTTTAATCCTATTGTCTTTTCAAGTGTCCCGAGGTGCGGCTGAACATCATCTCCAACCTGGACTGCGTGAATGAGGTGATTGGTATCCGGCAACTCTCTCAGTCCCTGCTCCCTGCCATTGTGGAGCTGGCTGAGGATGCCAAATGGCGAGTGCGGCTGGCCATCATTGAGTACATGCCTCTGCTGGCTGGACAGCTGGTGAGTGAGGAGCCAGGTTTTGTTGGCCATGAAGTGATAGATTTCAGGGTCTGGTCTGGGCATAACTCTAGGGCCAGGGCTGTGGTGCTGTAACTAGGGGCTTAAAGCCTCCGTGTAGGCAGTGACAGCTGTCCGTGGAGGGATGTCTGAACTCAGGAACTGATGCAACGAGTTCAGTCAGAGGAAGAAGACTGGCAGATCTGGTGGGGACCAGAATTGCCTGATTCTCTGGGACCCCTCTCTTTCTTCTTTCCCTTTTCCCCCTCAGGCCCTTACCAATCTTTTCCCCTCCGCAGGGTGTGGAATTTTTTGATGAGAAACTCAACTCTTTGTGTATGGCCTGGCTGGTGGATCATGGTAAGTACCCCCAGCAATACAGCAGGACAGGTTCGTAGCTGCAAGGACAGATGAGCTGGCACATTTCCTTGTCAGTGCTCACCTGTTGTTGTTTAAAAACTTTTAGAGAAGTGTAGGTTAGGGGTGGGGTATAGTGGGTGTCTGTGGAGCCCTACACTCAAACTCGAACATAAAGACTTCTCACTGTGGTCTCTCGGGCCCTTGTGACACTTGTTCCTTGGTTTTATTAAGTGGTTAAAAAAAAATAAAGTTTTTGTTTTTCTCAGTCAAGCAGTTTTAAGTAGTATGCTTACATAGCTTGAGATGTAATTTGCACAAGCAGAGCCTCAGTTAGTAATTCTGGATAATGAGGCAAGTGGCGTCTGTCTCTTTGGATGGCCAGAAGGTGCTGTAAGAGAAGAAACTGGGCAAAATGTAGCAAGCGCTGTTTCTTATTTTGGCTGAATTGACTGAATCTGTGTGGTCTGGCCACTGGGGCCTCACCTTAGGCAGAAACAGGTGTGTGTGGTCATGGTCAGTCCTTCACCCTGAATCACCTCCCTTGTCCTTTCCTTTTCCCTACTATAGTCTACGCCATCCGTGAGGCTGCCACCAGCAACCTCAAGAAGCTAGTGGAGAAGTTTGGGAAGGAGTGGGCCCATGCCACTATCATCCCCAAGGTCTTAGCCATGTCTGGAGACCCTAACTACCTGCACCGCATGACCACACTCTTCTGCATCAATGTAAGCACCCTGACTGACTGTCGACCCCAGAAAATGGGAGTGCCCCTAAGATGAAGGTGGTGGTGGTGTTTTGCTTGTAAATAGAAACATGATTTGGGCCAGGGATGAGTCTCTGAAGACTGCAGGCAAAAGCTTGAGTCTACAGTGTCAGATCAGGCTTTTGGGGGCTAAGGATTGCATGGTGAGAGATCCAAGATTGAGAGGCAAGTAGAGCACATGTGTTCAAACGGAAGCACATTCACTTTCTGCTTGCTGAGCAGGAGAGCAAGCGTGTGGCTCTGGAGTTGACCCAGTTCAGTTTCAGCTGTGTCACACATCAAAGCACCTAATAGTCAATGCTTTGGTTTGCTCACTTTTGTGGATTTATGATGGTGCTTACCAGGCTGTGAAGAGTAATGTAATAGCCACAGAAGACATAGAACAGCTCTGATTTTTGTGTCAGAGCATAGTTACTGATTTTCATTAGTGTCTTACTTATTCTTACTGTTTTACTGACACTAGAAGCTAAAGTATGGCTTGGAAATGACTCATTTCCTCCATACTACAATTTGGAGACTCCTGTATTAAGGAGGAATTTCAGGAGTTAGGAATCAAAACCACTCAAACCTTGAGGATGAAGGAAATCCAGACAAAGCACAGTCAATCCTCAAAGAAGACTGTTGAGGGATTTTGAAGCTACAAGAGGGTAACCGCTCTCCTGGGTTGATGCCTCTGGACCCAGATCCTCCCGTGTTCCTCTGGGAACCTGACGATGACCCAGGTGGCCTGGTCAGGTGGGGAGACATGAGGACCTAGTAGTGAGACTTGCCTAATCATGCTTCTGCCATTCACTGGTTTCAGGTGCTGTCTGAGGTCTGTGGGCAGGATATCACCACCAAGCACATGTTGCCCACAGTGCTTCGTATGGCTGGGGACCCAGTTGCCAATGTCCGCTTCAATGTGGCCAAATCACTACAGAAGATAGGACCCATTCTTGACAACAGGTGAGGTCTGAGGCTTGTTCTAAACATCTTAGATATTTTGAAGATGAGGGGCAGGGTTTGAAGCCGTCTTGCTTATAACCCTAGTTGCTGCTTCTTTACTTTGCACAAAGTCTGGTTTTTCTGTTTTAGAATGAGAATTCATTCCCACAAAATAGAATGAAAGAAAAGAGAGGGTGGTAGTTGCAGCCTTGTGCTACAATGAATTGCTCCAAAATGAAATTAGCCAATATTTATTTATGTAGATATTTTATCTGTGTAGATTAAGTTACGCTTGTATCTAAAATTTACACTTGTACCACAGACATCAAATAACCAAAATATAAGTAATGAAGTACACTTAACATTTCTAGTGAATCTATTAAACGGTGCCCTGGGAAGCTTTGGGAAACATGTATATACATAATTAAGAAACGGTGAAGTGGACATTCATGTCTCACTGAACCATTTTCCAGAGCACACAAAGCACTCAGGCATGTGGAACAGCGGGTACCATTGCAGTTTGATGGAAAAATGTTCATTTTTTTCTAAAAATGGCTAGATCATTTGGATACCCACATAAAATAAGTGGAATTCCTGCCTCTGCACAAACAAATTCATCTGAAGTAAGTTTTCGAACTAGAATCAGGATTGTGAAGAAAATGTGTAGAAAATACAGAAGAATGTCTTCATGACATGGGCAGCACACAGACCAGCTGAGTTGTATAAGGAAGAGTTTGACAAGATGGCCTCATGGAAATGGAAAGCTGTGCATCTGCTGACAGGGCGGAGATGTTTCTATGTGGAAAGAATTTGTCTAGTATCTTATAGGTGGGAAGACAAGGAAACTCCCAGTCTCAGTTGGGAAGGAGGGTTGTGGCGTTCAAGTGGGAGTATTGGAAGCAGGAAGGTGCAAGTCGGGAGGAGACGGAGGAGGCAAGTTGTCCATCAAAGCAGTATGTGTGACAGTATCATGAGGAATCCTGTTCATGTGTGCTAATTTGAAAATAGGATCTTCATGTGCTCAGTGAGCACCTGAGAAGGTGCGACCGACTAGGTGCTGAGCACCGTAGGCTGTTGGGACAGCACGGATTACAGCAGAAGTACTCTGAACACTAGGTTGGTGGGAGCTGTGGTACAGCTGGGATGCCCACCTGCGATGGCTTTAAAGGCTGAGCATTCTTAAGTGGACGGATGCAGTTAGGTCGGTGTAGACCCTGAGCTAGGCCTTGCTTTTAGAGAAATGAGTACTCCTCCTCCCACCACCCACCACAAATGTAGTGGCTATGGATGTCCTCTGTCCCCCTTAGCCTGTTGGCCACTAGGTCAAGAGGGGAAGGAGGCAGGTGGGACATGGTGACCCATGAGTACAGAGACAGCCTTCTGACAGATTTCAGTGAATACATTCTAGAATATAAGGAAAATATAGGATTGCGAGCCTGGGGCTTAATTTGCATTAATTTTATGTAAAATCTTAATTTGCATTAAGTAGCATGCTCCTATCACAAGGCTCAGTATGTGGCAGTAGGGTCCTGTAGCAGCTCCTACCACGAGTCTTCTCAGCAGGGAACTATGGAAGGGTCAAGCTAAAGATGAATCTGCAGCTGGTTTAGGACAGCTTTTAGATAAAGTCAGTCCTTCAGGCTCAGGAACATTCTCCAGACAAGGACAGTAGAGAGCAGGAACCTTTGCTGGAGGGAGGGAGCTCCATTTTACCAAGCTTATTGAGATAAACTGCTAGGCCACTGGGAGGCCATGACCTCTGACCAGCCAACATTGTCTTCCAACACGTGGCCTTATGTATAGTAGCCATAAGACAGAAACAGCTAAATACTTTCACACAGTGAAAGCGTGACTTATTCACAGGACAGAGAACTTAGTAATGAGAAAAAAGATGCCTGTTTCTAAGTAGCAACATGTATAATTATGGATGATTTATTGGCATCATCTTGAGGGAGATGCTAGACGCAGGAAAATAAGCCATTTATATTGAGTTTAAAATAGATGGGTGCCGGAGAGATAATGGCTCAATGGTCAAGAATATTAGCTGCTCTTGCAGAGGACCTTGGTTCACTTCTCAGCACCCAGACAAAAGCTCACAAGTGCTTATAACTCTAGTTCTAGGGTATCCTAGCCTGACACATACACCAGTTACCAAGAACTCACAAAAGTGTGTGCACAAACACACACACTCGTAAATAATTTTTTGTGGATAAAAGTCTAATAACCAGGCATGGTGGTACATAGCTTCCCAGCACTCTACAGGTTGAGGCAAGAAAGTCATGAGCTGTAGACCAGCCTGGGCTATATAGTTTGAGGTCATGTATAGTTATATAGTAAGATCTGCCTCCCCAAAACAAAGCAAGCAAGCAAACAACAGAAGCAAAGCAACCTTAAGTGTTAGGAATGAGGGAGGGTTGCATGGGGGGAAGAGGAGCTGCCTACTAACTGAAGGAGACATCTGATGCCTGTATGTCTCGTCTCTGCCTCATAGCCTTAAACCTTTGTCTCTGAGATGTGCCTGCATGTCTCACAACTTAGCAGATCTCCCTGTGTAGATGTAACTTCAGGGCCCCTTGAAATCAGGAAGCCTTTGATCTTTCTGCCATGCCCATTAATTGGTCTTGTCTTCTGGTCTGGGCTCATCTGGGTAAGAATCTAGAGTGATATACCTCTGTATTCATACCAGACACACAGTGCCTTAGTGAATATACATTTAGTCAGTGAAGGAATCTGCTGAGCTCCAAGACCTGTGTGCTCACCTGGGCGCCTCAGAGTATCCTTGTTTAGCTAATTCCAAGCCTACTTGTGTGTGCCCTTGTCCTATATGCTGCTTTATGATATGGTATGACTCTCTTGATGCTTACCTGCACAGGAGCCATCTTCCTGCCTGTGATCCCCCTGTCTCAGCCTAGCCTTGTTCACCACCTTCTTTTCTCTTCCCTTTCCAGCACACTGCAGAGTGAAGTCAAGCCCATCCTGGAGAAGCTGACGCAGGACCAGGATGTAGATGTCAAGTACTTTGCCCAGGAGGCGCTGACTGGTAAGGACCTGAGAGTATAGAGCCCTGAAAGAAGGGTAAGGGCGCCTGGGGAGGGGGCAGAATTTGGTAGTGTAGGTAGGCAGTGTAGTCCAGTTCTGAGGCCTGATTGTTCCTTGTTTCCCCAGTTCTGTCTCTTGCCTGATGCTGGAAGAAGAACCATTGCCGGCCTCTGGTGTCCGCCCTCCAACCCCCACCAAGTACCTCCCTTAGGGAGGTAGGTGGAGGCCAATGACTGTCACTCCCCGTGCATGGTCTGACCCCAGGCCCCTCCCCCAGCACGGTTCCTCCTCTCTGTAGCCTGGGAAGACTTCTGTCCACCTCCCAAGGGGCTGGGACAGTGCAAGTTGGGGCAGGGCAGCAGCCTGAAAGGAAAAGCTGGCTGTTCCTGCCCATAGTGGGAGAGATGGAGCATCCTAGGTCACTGGCTCCTGCTGCTGTAATAGGGACCCCTCACCCATCTACTCACCACCTCCCCTTCTCCAACCCTTGAACCATGTTTTTTTGTGTGTGTCAATTGTGCCATTTTTATTTTATTCCTTTCCCCACTCTTATCACAGAGAAATAAATGTGTAGAAATAGCTGGTCTCTAGTCTTAGTCATCAGAATGGCGGAAAGAGCGCTGCCTGGGGTTGGTTCTCTGCTCTGTTCCTGAGGAGGCTGTCCTGCAGCTAGCTATCCCTCCTGCTGTCATGAGAGGAAGAAGGACTTGAGCTGGCAAGAGTGCAGCAAGAGCCGCAGGGCAGGAGGCCCAGAGGCTGCTCGGCAGTGTCCCGGGATGAAGCTTAGGTTTTCAAGCACTGGCATAATTCTCAGGTTTGTGTAGTGTTAACTGGGTTAGCGCCTGCGATGGATTCCTGGCCTGCGTGAGCCCTCACTGGGATAGCACTTACAAGCTCTGTGGGCCACTTGCTGTGCTGTCAGGTTGGCTGGTGTACCCATGTAAGTATGCAAGTAAAACCTTCATACCAGGAGACTGGTTAGAGCTCTTCGTGGAGTCTTAGGACATGGCTTCATAGTGCTTTGTAGGCACTTTGTATGAAGACAAAACCATTCGTTCTCAATATCGGCCCTGCCCTTATTATTTTTGAAGATTGATTTTTTTTTGCTTTTATTATAATTATCATCATCATTATATTTGTGTTTGTAGCCATGTGTATGCAGGTACACCCACACACAAGAAGAGGGTTTGGAATACAGGCAGTTGTGAGCCTTTTGACGTGGATGTTGGGAACTAAACTCGACTCCTCTGAAAGAACAACAAACACTCTTAACCATTAAGTCGTCTCTCCAGCTTCTGCTCTCCCCTTAGTATGGAAGTGCTTTTAGCTGTTGGAGTGTCCAGTGGTGTGACTAAATTCTGGCCAAAATGATATGGAAAGAAATAGTACTCACAGCGTATCACAGGGAAGGCATGATCCTCCTTTCTAGTCTCTGGAATGCAGACCAGATGTAGGGTCAGTCATTTTAGGTCAGGGAAGTCATAATGTAGGCCAGGCAGGCCAAAGGAGTAAGACAGAGCCTGAATCCTTCACACTGTTCAACCAGCCGTTATTGGTGACTGTGGAACTGTTAAATGACTGGAGTCCTGAAGGTCACCCCAATTCTCACCAAAGGAGGCCAAAAGCCCCTGAAAAAGGAACAAGGGACTTAGATACATTGTATACCAAGAAGAGTATCAGAGGAAGTAACATTGGAGTACATGTGACTCACGTGGATGGGAAGTAACTGTAGCATTGAGTGACTGGTGAACACCAGGCACACAGTCTGACATTAATCCAGTCCTTATCTCTTCTCAAACTGATGCACAGAGCTTGGAATCTTGATACTTAGCACTGTCTGAAGGCAAGAGTGCTGGCCCTGGTGGGCATCTCCCTGTTTTAATAGTGTCTCCCTGTTTTAATAGAGGATCTACCTCTTAAGTAACATTTGTGCAGCATTACCTTAAACACTATCATCCAGTTTTCCTTTCTTGATAGTGACTTTAAAGGCAAGGGACATACCACTCAGAGACGAAGTATACACTTGGGTCAACTTGGGCTGGCTGAGGGGGCAGACACCCTGGCCATGAGATGGAGACACTGGAATCCTAGCAGGGAATGCTTGGTGTTTAGTTGCATTGTCTAGAAGCAGCCCAAGACTGCTGTAAATCCCAGCACTTAGAGCATTGTTAAATGGGGCAGGAGCAGCAGCTTTCATGTCCCTAAGAGATGCCTATAGTTAAGGCAGTATTACGTGAGTGTGAAGCTTTGCATATTCAGTAAGCTGGTTCCTTGGGTCCTTGACCCTGGGTACAGACACCATGTGGAGCTAAGATGAACTTAAACACCCACTTTCTCCTATGAGGCTGTCTCTAGACCTTCACAGTTGTCTTCTGGTCCTTTTCATAGAACCATCCTTTACCCTTATAAAGGTCATTTTCCTGTGGACTGCATCTGTCTTACTATCCAGAGGCAGTCCTTTGTCCCCCCTGGGACAAATACCCCTCTTACCTCTTTCTTACTCCCTTTCAGCCCCCTCCCTGGTTCCCTTCCCCTTCTCCCTCTATCTCCTGTCTTTGTCCACCCTCTCTGCCTCTGGAGCAAATATTCTCCTTTGTGCTCCTTTGGTCTTGTGCTACTGTTCTTTCAGTAAGTGCTAATGGAGCTGGGAAGAGAGTAACTCTTCCCACACGGACAGCTTTTGTCTTCTTTCTGAGTCATCCAGCTCTTAGACATACTTTGCTAGCATCTATTTTACTCAGCCCGTTTGCTTTGACCCAAGAAACCCAGATGCACGTGAGGGTGTGGGGATACCTTTGACTAATGAGTAGGGTTACAGTATTTTCAACTCCCACACAAGATCTACCTGTGGTATATGAGCTATAGGTCATACTGGGGAAAATTAACATGGCTCTCCAATTGGATGAAGACAAGGTGGCACATGTTTACAAACAAGGACAGTGACCTGCTTCTCATCAAGATGGGTGTAAGACATCAGGTTCCTCTGTCCCAAATGGCAACAACGGGTCAGAAAACAGCCTCCATCAGGAATTTGCATATGCCTGCAGTAGAACATGCATACCTCTGTAGGGTGTTCCAGTGTGGTATGGATCCTCAGCAAACAAGGTCTAGGTCAGTTTGTGCTTGGGAGGTTAGCTGAGGATGAGAAAATTTACTCATTTTCATCTTGCTGACAGATTTCTCCCCTTTATTCACTTCTGCTCACTCTACTCCAGCTTCTCTCACTCTCCCTGTTTCTCCTGCGGCAGCCTACAGTTGCCCCACAGACATCAGCACATTAGTGTGGGATTCTTTTGCACTTTGTTGAAACCATCAACCCAGGGACCATCTAATCTTTGGCAACAGGATACCTAGGCAGGTGAATATGAATTTTAGTTCAGCCAAGACTACATAGTGAGACCCTGTCTTAAGATTTGTCTTCTCTGTTCTGCATGGGTCTCTTTGAGAAGTATACTGCATCTCACCTGCTGGAACAAGAAACTGGGTCAGAAAGGATAATGTTTCCTTAGCTAGTGCTTCCCTTCTCTAACATATTCATGGCTTCCATATTCTCCAAATCAACACACTATAATGTGTAGGGTAAAAAAGGCCAAGGAAAGAGCACCCTGCCCCTGACATGACCCCAGGACCTGGACTTGAAATCTTACCAAGTCCTGAACTTGCCCCAGAATCTGCAAAATCCCACCAATCTCAAGCCACCTTGGAAAGCACCCCCCTCCCCAAGAAACACTATGTAAGCTCTGTGCTGTGTTCAGTTTTCTGCTGCTTTTCACTCAAGAGGCAGCCACCCTCTTGGATTTTTCCTTCTCAATAAATCTCTGAGTGAGATTTGTCGTACAGTGTTACACTTTTCCCTGGAGCCCAGCTGTAACGACTATCCATGGAGCTTAGTGGAACTGTAAGTCTTTGTCTGGGAAAACTTGCCCTAGAGGCAGAGTTGTTACACTTAAGGGGCCTAAGCAGAGCTGCCGCTGTGCTTCCAGTGACTGGTATTCCCTTGTTCCTGACTAATCCATACCTTTCCATCGGAGCCACAACACATCCATCCAGAAAAGTATCCTGGCAGTCAGGAGGCATGGAATACCACAGAGTCACAAGCGTCGCAGCTCTGAAAGGAAAGGTTTTTCCAACAGAAGTGTTACAACTCTGTTCCTTTTGGGTGGTGGGGAGTTCCGCAGCAAAGCTGTTACAGTTCTGCTCCATTCTGCTCTGCTCTTATGGGTGGAAAGTATTACAACTTGGCTCTGGTGAAAGTATCACACCACACCACACAAACCTCACACGATTTATTTGAAGAAGGAAAAACCAGGAGGCTGGCTATCTTTACTCAGGTAAGAAGCAGCAGCCAACTTCTCAGAATGCTGAACTTATATAAGATTTCTGGGCAGGGGTATTGGTGGGATTTCAAGTCCTGAACTTAGCTCAGAAATTGGTGAGTTTTTAAGTCCTGAGTTTGGGATTCTGTCGTCAGACTCTGGAGCAAACTCAGTGATTGGTGGGATTGTGTGCTCAGGGATGGATGGGATTTGAAGTCCTTGGCCCTAGTCTCAAGGCCAGGGTGTTCTTTCTCTGGCCCTTTGTTCTCTACAGAGAAGTCTCAATTACTGAAGGAAAATTGTCTTAATTCGTTTCTGGAACCAACCAATCATTCAGGAGGATCTACCACACAGATTGAGAGCTTTCTCATTTCTGTCTTCAGACATGATATTTTAATGTCTCCTGAGACCCGCTGTATATCTCTTATCAACTAGTAAATCCAGTGTAAGAGGAAGGACAACCGGCAAGCATTTCTGGGGTTTGCTTACCTGATTTATGTCTGAGTGTTTCCATATTGATGAAAATACATTTATTTTTGTGGTAGAGAAACAGAAACCCCAAACATTACGTTAAATAGAAAATGTCCATAATATCCATATTGTCACTTAGATAGAGTTCTGCCTGGTCTGAAGCACTCTGTCTCAAGCAACCTGATGTGAGAATGCCTAGTCACTTTAGAATTCCACGTCATCATAGAACAATGGAACAGCTCTATAGCCCCAGGTGATTCTTAGCAGTCAGGAAGAACACAAGAAAGAAAGTGATCCCTCAGATCACTCAAATCTATTTCTGTCTCTCCTTGTCTTCTAACCCAAACCTTTTATCATTATTTTATGAAGACTTTAGAGCAATGCATTTGCTATTTCACATAAGTCAATTGTTTCTGTTCTCACAAAGTTTGACTCTCAACACACCTCACTAAAAGACACAGGATTAACAATCTAACATCTTCCCAGGAATCTTTGCAAATCCCCAGTTATTTTATTCTTGACTATACACTGCACTCATTGTAGGCTTCTTGTAAAATTTCTTTACTCATATCAGCTTCTACACCTAAAACTCAGGGATCATTGCAGAAGAAGGGTGTAAAGTTGGTAAGCACCAATGGAATAGGAAGTTTGCTATGAGATTGTGTCTCAGAAATGTCAGGCTACAGTCATGAAGTCTCATCAGCATGACTGCCTAAACAAGACCTAACAACAACAGCACGAGGTTTCAACTCCAGAGAAAATACTACGGCGAATTTTTTATTCAATATAAAA